GTGAAGTGTCTTGCCCAAGGACACAACGACCGAGACTGTCCGAGCCGGGGCTCGAACCGGCAACCTTCCGATTACAAGGCGAACTCCCACATTTCTCATTCGTGGGATAATAGAGGTTTACTCCATTTTATTCTCTGTTTCCTGTCTACATCCCGTCAGGAAACAAACCCCTCCAAGGACCCCGGTCATTAAAACTTGGCCTGACGATGCTCTCCTCCAGCAACAGGACTGTTTTGATCTGACAGACAATCCATATTTTAACAGCAGGACCTGGAGACATGCACTCAGTCTGTGACTTAAAAATGTTTTAGTTATAAAGATCATTTACAGTCTGTGTTATTATGGCATTACTCAAAGCACAATGAAGAAAAACTGTCAGCTAGAAAATAATTAATTTGATAGATTTATAATACTATATTAATATTACCTATATTCTATATACCTATATTTTTTTTTAGGCAGCAACGTCTCCATCTGTGATAATACAAACAATGCAAAAAAGGTAAGGCTGCTGATGCTTGAATGTTTGACTTATAAATATAAGGAAGTTTAACTACATACACTTCACTTTGGTATAAAAACTATTGTGGATAAATGCATTTTATTTTTATTTTATTATCATCATTATTAATAATAATAAACGGAGCTTTGTCTCCTATCCGCATGTTGGAAATAGCTGACGTTTACATAAACCACGTGACGATGGCGCAAACGGGACTTTCCTTTAAACCGCCCTCAGATGGAGCAGAGGCCTTTTGATTTTATATTGATCATGTATCTTATTTCAATGGCGAAAAAAATGTCGTCACTTAGCTCTAAAACCAATCTACTGTTAAATCCATACGTTTTTAAAAGTTCACTTTAATTTTACTCAGCAGCTCCGCCATTACATGAAGTGAAAATGAAACTTAACTCTTAACTGTGACTGAAATCTTGTGACTTACACGATGTCTCACAGTAATTACACAGAGCCCAAATCTATCCCTCTCCCTGTGACATTTTACTACCCATCAGACAGGTTAAACGCTGGTTACCTTCACAGTCAAGTCCCAGCAGATAGAAGATAAATAGTTCCGTCAGGACAGTCCATGGTCGCCAAGGCTGCATTACAGTCGGAAGCGGTGCCGCCTACACTACAGCTACACTGGGGCAATGCCCCCTTAAATCAGACTTTTAGAAGTTGAGAAAGAAAATAATAGATTATCCACAAACTGAATATTGACAAGGTTTACTACAGTAGCTGAAAAATCCGCTGGAAAAGGCACAAATGAGATGATAGGTTTCATTCGTTTGCGTGCTCTGTTTGTGGGCAGGTTCACTCAGCACTAACCCCCAGCTAAATACCCAATCGTTGTTAGTATGCAAATGACCCGGTGTCAGGTTTCTCACTAGGCAGGCTTATTTTATTCGTACTTTATTTTGAGAAGTTATTCGAGAATTAGGCAATTCAATTAAGACCAATTTTATGTTGCTGTTTCTAAAGATCTAGATGAATAATGTATTTTATTCTTTATTTTATTTATTTTACTTTTTAATTTTTTTTTACTAAATTTTTCAGTTTTATTTTACAAGACTTGGTGAATTGCCTTTTTTTTTTAATAACTTGGCCTACCCTTTTAGTTTTGTTAATGTTGGCAACAGTGAGAAGTACTATTGTTGGGCTTGAATATATTTGATATAGGCCATCCAATTAAGGTAAATGTCATGTTTTTAGGTGTTAGAATCTGATGAACAATATTTTATTTTATTTTTTGTTGTTTTGTTTTTCAGTTAACATGGTCAGGGGTTTTGTGCGCCTCAGTGACCCTAAGAGCTGGACCAGCAGAAACTTAGCCTTCATGTGGGACACCCAAGTTGGTCAGGTCTTAGAGTAGAGGCCTGACAAAGTGCAATCCAATTACATGACAAAAACAGTTATCCACAGCACCCTACCCAACCCCTTTCCTGCCTCCATTGCCACCATGTGCCCCCTTTACATTTCTGTCTGCCCCCACTCTATAACAAAATATGTTGCCAAAAGTTAACGTGTTTGTTTTGCTATTTACAACAGATCATTAAAGATTTTATATGTTGCTATCAAATCAACATGCCAGGTGACAGGCAGGCTTCTTTTAGCCAGCTTGTTAGCATACTAACGTGGTTACCTAAACTGAAGATGTAGAAAGCTCATCAAGGCGCTGCTCAACAGTGCTCAACAACTAGCATTTTCTACTTTCTCCAGAAAATGTAATTTGCTGCATCAGCTGATTCATCCTTGCTATCATCTATTACTCTCATACTCTCCTCCGTTACAAGTAACGCGTTACTGCCCATCTCTGCAGGTGATCAATATTAATCATATTCATATTAATCAGAAAGAAACGAGAGAAACGTTTCAGTTCCTTCATCATGATTATGCAAATTCTCATGATCATTGATCAAAGACCACTGATCAATGGCTGGGGAAAGAGGGCAGCTGGGTGACGGTGAGGAGGAAATATAGTCTTAAACAGAAGCCCCAGGTAATTGTTAAATCCTCCCAATTCTTTTAATCTTTGGGCTGAAGGAAGGACAATACTCGGTGTATAAATGCTCAATCAACAATCTTTTATTCCATACAATTCAACACTTT